TGTAATGTGCCATATTTTCTGCTCCAGAGCCATTGCTAATGCCGTTGTCTCTGCCTTGACTTCTCTCTTCTGTGTCCACCTGCACTCACGAGCTAACTCCTACTCATTCTCCAGGTCTCAGCTTAGATGTCACATCCTCAGGTTCTCAGAAAAGCTTCCCCTAAATGTCTCCTTGACTCTATAATATCCCTCAGACTCTGTTAGACTCCTTTGTTGTGTCCTTTCATTGCACCACTCTGCATTCCCTTCCTACTACTTATGACAAGGTTTTACATGTAAGTGTGTATTCAGGGTCTGTTTTCCTACTCATCAGCCCCTTACTCAGATTGGCATCTCTTTTCTTCTGCCTCACTAGCTGCCCTTCCCCTTGACCCCAGCCCATCCCATGGATGTTCTCTGACGTCATCCTACTTCATCCTGAATCTTCATCCTTTCCATAGACTGTCCTGTTCTCTGCTTTATCCCTGGAACCTAGTACAGTACATGGTACACGATAGGTGCTCAATAAATATTTGTTGAATGGATGTATGTTTAAACTCTCTGTAATTGGTACATAGTAGCTGCTCAATAAATACAGTTAAAATATAAATGCAGTTATTATTATTGCCGAAGGGAGAGTACTGAGTCAGGGGCAGAACCAGAATTTATACCCAGGTACGAATCTAAAGCCCATGTTCCTTTCTTGATGTGATGCTGCCTGCAAAAATGTGTTCTAGGCCCAGCACTGCCACTAGCTGGCTGTTTGACTTAGAGTGAGACACTGTACCTCGCTGAATCTCAGTTTTCCCATCTGTAAAATGGGGGTAGGAGAAGATAAAGTTTAGATTGCTCTGCAAGTAACGTAAAAGAGGAGGAGAATAGAAGTCTAGATTGAAAGAGGCTGTAAGTAAATAAGCAAATGACCAGTACAAATCAGTATCATCCTTCTGCAAGACTGTTGACCAGCTATACCAAGAACCTCAATATCTTTATGCCTTTCCGCCTGGTAACCCCACATAGGGGCAGTGTAGTGTAGTGGGTCATGTGTAGGCTTTGGTGTTAGACAGTCCTGGGATCAAATCCCAACTCCCCATTTACTAGCTCTGTGGTCCTGGGTAAGTAACTACCCTGCACCTCAATTTCCTTCTTTACAAAAGGGGGTATTAACACCCATCTTTTTACCCTTTTCTAAGGTAAAAACAATATAACAACATGAAAAGAAATTTTTGGATATAAAGAGAAAAACTTCTCCCATCATCCTACCACCTAACAAAATTCTTTCTGTGGTCCTGTGCCATCATGGACCATCTCTTGAGGCAGGAGCCATGGACAGTGCTGAGAAGAGAGATAGAAAACAGAAGTAGGCTGAAGTCAGAAGTCAAATCCCAGGGTGTGGAGCTAGAACACCCATGGGATGGGCTGGGGTCGAGGGAAAGGCCAGCTACTGAGGTAGAATAAAAGAGATGCCAGTCTGAGTAAGGGGCTGATGAGTAGGCAAGACCTGAGAACCAGGGAGCAGGGAGCCAGTGGGAGGACAACAACATGCTCTAGACAGGCCTTCCTCAAAGGCTTGTGGCTCTCTCCAGAGGACAAGCATGAAATACTCTTAAAGGCCCTTGAAACCATACCTTTGTCAGTTCCTTTTCTTATTTAGTCACATGCATGCGTATTTTGAAATTGTTACAATCCGTGTGTATAGTTTTTCATTGAGTATCATATCTTCAACATTTTCCTGTAAGTACTGTGCTCCCTTAAAAAAATCATCTGTATAATACCAAACAGTCAACAATTACTTTAAAACAAAGATGAGAATGTAAGGGGGCAAGGAAACTGGATTAATAGAAACAGAACAACCAGAACAGAAATAATCAGAATGTTCATGCACTGTGAAGAATGTAACCAATTCACTGAACAATTTGTGTAGAAATTATTGAATGGGAACCTAAACTGCTGTGTAAAGCTTCGTTCATTGAAAACACAATAAAATATTATTTTCAAAAATAGCTATGAACGTAGAAAATTATATATGACTGTCTTAGTTTTCAGAAACCCTGGTGGCATAGTGGTTAAGAGCTTTGGCTGCTAACCAAAAGGTCAGCACTTCGAGCTCCTTGGAAACTCTATAGGGCAGTTTCTACTTTGTCCTGTAGTGTCGCTGTGAGTTGGAAATTGACTCGACAGCAGTGGGTAATGGGTCTCAGTTTTCTAGTGCTGCTGTAACAGAAAAACCACAAGTGGATGGCTTTAACAAAGAGAAATTCACTCTCTCACAGTCTAGCAGGCTAGAAGTCTGCATTCAGGCTGCCAGCTCCAGGGGAAGGCTTTCTCTCTCTCTTGGCTCTGGGGTAAGGTCCTTGTCATCAATCTTCCCCTGATCTAGGAGCTGCTCAGTGCAGGGACTCCGGGTCCAAAGGACACACTCCCCTCCTGGTTCTTCATTCTAGGTGGTAGGAGGTCCCCCTGTCTCTCTGCTTGCTTCTCTCTTTTATATCTCAAAAGAGATTGACTCAAGATACAACCTAATCTTGTAGATTGAATTCTGCCCTTTAAATATAACTGCCTCTCATCCTGCCTCAGAAACCCTGGTGGTGTAGTGGTTAAGTGCTACGGCTGCTAACCAAAAGGTCAGCAGTTCAAATCCACCAGGTGCTCCTTGGAAACCCTATGGGGCAGCTCTACTCTGTCCTATAGGCTTGCTATGAGTCAGAATTCATGGATTCCACTCTATGGCAGCGGGTTTGTTTTTTTGGTTTGTAATCCTGCCTCATTAGCATCACAGAGGTAGGATTTACAACACAAAGGAAAATCACATCAGATGACAAAATGGTGGACAATTACACAATATTGGGAATCATGGCCTAGCCAAGCTGACACATTTTTAGGGGACAAAATTCAGTCCATAACATTCTACCCATTGGCCCCCCAAAAATTCATGTCCTTGCCACATGTAAAACACATTTACCCCAGCACATCATAGCAAAATTCTTAAGTCAACTCCAAGTTCAAAATCTCATGTTCTGCAAAATTCCTCTGCATCTATGAAGTCTAGAATACAAGTTATCTGCTTCCAAAGTACAATGGTGGAACAGGCACAAGCTAGACATTTCTATCACAAATGGGAGAAATTGGAGGGAAAGAAGGGATAACAGGCATCAAGCAAGTCAGCAGAATACATTACATTAGTTCTCAAGGCTTGAAAATAATCCTCTGTTCTCTGAGACCATTTAGGCAAATGCCCTGCCCTCCAGATTCTGGATGTTGGCCACACTCTCCAGATCCTGGGTGGAGGCCCCTCAGCCCTGGGCTTCAGCTCTGCCTTCCAGGCCCACTGGAATGGCAACTCCGCTCCCTCACATTTGGGTGGCCCCATTCTCCTAGTCTGTCTGAGTGGTGACCCTACCCCCTTGGCCCCTGCAGACCCCATTCTTCTGCCCCTTGGGCATAGCAGCCCTGCCTTCTCAGCTTTGGGCAGTGGATTTGGCTCCATCCTGCTGGCACTTGTGAAAGGCAGCCCCACACTCTGGAACCGAGTTGGTGAAGATCTGACTCTTTGAAACCTGGGAGGCTGTGGCCCCACCCTTTGAGACCCCAAAGGTTGTGGCCCTACCCTTTGAGACCAAGGCAACTCTGCTTCCTGTGCTCTTTGTCTCTTCAGCTTCTCTTCCTGGTTCCTTGGGCTCTTGGGCCCTTGGACCCTTGTGCCAGCCCTGTATCTGCCCTGATTGGGCAAGTGTTGTAAAGCTCTTTAGCTCTCCACATATAAGTGCCTGGAGGCACCCCAGTCCACCAGTAAACCTCAGCTGGAAGGCACTGAGCTCTCTTGCTCTGTGGGTTGGCTCCAGCGCTGTCTCAAGCTGGTCTCTTGGTTCTGCTGCTGCTGTTTCTCTGTGCTGCCGTCATTTGCACCATCTCCAGTGTAACGGATCTCCTCACTTCCTTCTGAGTCTTCACCAGATTTGTCTTTGATGTCCATAATTCCACCAACATTCTCTTCAAGGCAATCTAGGCTTTTACTATTAGGCACTTTAAAACTCTTCCAGCCTCTACCCATTCACAGTTTCAAATGCCTTCCACATTTTAGGTATCTGTTAGAGCAGCACCCCACTCTCTCGGTACCAAATTCTGTCTTAGTTTTCTAGTGCTGCTATAACAGAAATAATGACTAAGAGGGAAATTTTTTTTTCCATGTCACAAGTCTTCATAATGATCCCTTTTAATGGCTGCCAAATATTCCAGTTGTACTCATAGCCTAGGAAGTACAACTCTGTATTAACTTTTTGCTTCCTAGGTGTGGGATTACTGAGCCAAAGGGTATTCAATAAGGATTTAACAACCAGAAATAGGTTTTTGTTTTTCTAAGAAGAAAAGAAATGACACACACAATGACTTCTTCTCTTCCCCTTTCCCTTCCTCTTCTGAAACTGATGAGTGGACCTACTGGAGCCACGCTTTTCAAAATGAGAGCCACATGTGGCTATTTGAATTAACTAAAAGTAAAATTCAAAATTCAATTTCTCAGTTGCACTAGCCCCATTTTAAGTGCTCAATAACTACATGTGGCTAGTGGCTACTGTATTGGACAGCACAGATACAGAAGATTTCTATCATTGCAGAAAGTTTATTGGACAATGCTGCCCTAGAGTTTTTCAAGAAGTCTGTTTTGGCATCTTGGGTAGGAGTTCTTTTTGAGGTAGGATTTTACTGTGCATTGAGAGGCTGTTTAGCATTCTTGGCCAATGTCCATTCCAAGCCAGCAGCGCTCTCCCTTGAATCAATCTGATAACTAAAACCTACCCCACATGTTTGCATATGCCCCAAAGGAGAGCAGAATTATCCTCACCTGAGACCCATTATCTTAGACAAAAGCATCTCCTAACTTTTTTATGATGGCTTCAGGTTGGCTCTGCCCAGAGAGAGGGAAGCTTGAAAAGATGGCATTGGTTCAGGGTCTAACTCTGTACTCCATTCCCATTTGCTTCCCTTCTCCTGATGACCTGTTTTCTGCTTCTTGGGAATTGCAGGAGTAAAACCCTGCAGATGGAGAAGATCAAGGCCCGTTTGAAGGCTGAGTTTGAGGCCCTTGAGTCAGAGGAGAGACACCTGAAGGAATACAAGCAGGAGATGGACCTTCTGCTACAGGAGAAGATGGCCCATGTGGAGGAACTCCGATTGATTCATGCTGACATCAATGTGGTATGTGGCTGGCTGCCTGGAGGCTACCTCTGGGACCCTTGAGGAAGTGGCAATAGAGAGTACTATGGCCTCTCCTTGAGATGTGGCTGTGGCCAACCAGGGGCTACAGGCTGTGGTGAAAGGAGCCAGGAGTTCTGAGCTCTAGCCCTGGCTTTGTCACTGACTGACTGCATATGAGTGGACCTCATATTAGTGGGCCTCAGTTTCCCTCTTTGAACTATAAGAGGATCTCAGTAATCTTTAAGGGTGCTTTCAGCTCTAACGTACTCTCCTGGGAGTCTAGAGCTAGCCTTGGAGGAAAGCAGAGCAGGCAGCTGCCTCTTTAGTGTAGTTTAAAGGGCTTCAAAGCTCACAGCTAGACAAAACAAATCATCTCTGCCTACCTACCATAATGGGGCTCCCTCATTAGAGTCTTTTCTTTGGAGACATTTATAACATGGAAAATAAACTATTTGCTAAGGTGATCAACTCCACACTTTTGGAGGTATTCAAGCAGAATCTGAATAGTCACCTGGAGAGAGGTTGGAGATACTGACCTGTAAGTTCCCTTCCAACCCTTAGAACCTATGACAATAAGTATTTTTTACATTTACATTTGAAGGAACTAAATTTCTATTCTTGAGAAACTCATTTTTGTGGCAGTACTTATTTCCTGATGTCATCAGGCCTAGGATCTCTCTCTTTCTCTCTCTCTCTATATATATATATAATTACCTATTCTTGTCATTTCATATAAATGAGACGATATAATATTTATCCTTTTGTGATCGACTTATTTCACTTAGCATAATGACTTTGACGTTCATCCATGTTGCAGCATGTATCAGGACTTCATTTTTCTTCAAGGATGAGTAGGATTCCATTGTATGTAACACATTTTGTTTATCCATTCATCTGTTGATGGGCACTTGAGTTATTTCAACCATTTTGCTATTGTGAATAATGCTGCAGTGAACATCAGTATACATATGTCTGTTCACATCATTACTTTTAAGTCACTAGGGTATATACCTAGGAGTGGAATTGCTGGGTCATGTGGTAGTTCTATTTCTAATTTTTTGAGGAATTGCCATACTGTTTTCCACAAAGGTTGTACCATTTTACATTCCTACCAACAGCGGGTAATGGTTCTGATCTCCCCACATCCTCACCAACATTTGTTTTCTGTTTTTTTAATCATTACCATTCTAGCAGGGGTGAGGTGGTATCTCATTGTGGTTTTTATTTGCATCTCTAATGGCTAATAAAGGAGCCCTGGTGGCTCAATGGTGAAGTGCTCAGCTGCTAACTGAAAGTCCAGCAGTTCAAATCTACCAGCTGTTCCATGGGAGAAAAGACCTAACCATCTGCTCCCTTAAAGATTAAAAAAAAAAAAAAATTGCCAACCAGTCAATTCTGACTCATAGTAATCCTATAAGACAGACTAGAACTGCCCCATAGGGCTTCCAAGGCTGTAATCTTTATGGAAGCAGACTGCCACATCTTTCTCTCATGGAGCAGCTGGTGGGTTTGAACTGCTGACCTTTCAGTTAGCAGCCAAGTGCTTAACCAGTGCACAATCAAGGCTCCTTCCCATAAAGATTACAGCCTGGGAAACCTTATGGAGCAGTTCTAGTCTGTCCTATATAGGGTTACTATTAGGAATTGAATTGTGTTCCCCCAAAATGTGTGTCACCTTGGCCAGGCCATGATTCCCAGTATTGTGTGGTTGTCCTCCATTTTGTGATTTGATGTTATTTTCCTATGTTTTGTAAATCCTAACCTCTGTCGTGTTGATGAGGTAGGATTACAGGCAGTTATGTTAATAAGGCAGGACACAGTCTACAGGAGTCAATCTCTTTTGAGATATAAAAGAGAGAAGTGAGGAGAGGGACCTCATTACCCCCAAGCAAGAAGAGTCAGGAGTGGAGCATGTCCTTTGGACCCAGGGTCCTTGTGCTGAGAAGCTCCTAGACCAGGGCAAGATTGATGACAAAGACCTTTCCCCAGAGCTGACAGATAAAGAATGCCTTACCCTGGAGCTGGCGCCCTGAATTTGGACTTCCAACCCCCTAAACTGTGAGGGAATAAATTTCTATTTGTTAAAGCCATCCACTTGTGGTACTTTTGTTATAGCAGTACTAGATAACTAAGACAGAATTTGGTACCGGGAGTGGAGTGCTGCTTTAAAACTTACCTACAATGTTGAAGCAGTTTTGAAACTGTGAATGGGTTGAGGCTGGAAGAGTTTTAAAGTGCCTAATAGTAAAATCCTAGATTGCTTTGAAGGGACTGTTGGTGAAATTATGGACATCAAAGTCAGTTCTCTTGAGGGTTCAGAAGGAAGTGAGGAGAGCTGTAATACCAGAGACGGCACAGACAGTGAGAAGCAGCAGCTGAGAACCAACAGCAGCAGAACCAGGAGACCGGTATGAGACAGTGTGGGAGGTAACCCATTGAGCCAGAGATCTGAGTGCTTTTGGGCAGGAGGCTTCCTGGCAGAGTAGGGTACCTCCGAGCACTTATCAGTGTTGCTAAACAGCTTTGGCCTGAGGAGCCAAAGGCCTGAGTTAGCAAGAGGCCAAGGAACCAGGAAGCAGAAGCTGAAAAGACAAGCAGCACAGGAAGCAAAGCTGCCTTGGTTTCAAAGGGTAGGGCCACAACCTCTGGTGTCTCAAGGGCTGGAACTATGGCCTACTGGGTCTCAAAGGGTGGGAACATAGCCTCCTAGGTTTCAAAGAGTCAAATGTTCACCAACTCGGTTCCAGAGTGTGGGGCTGCCTTTCACAAGTGCCAGCAGGATAGGGCAAGATCTGCTGCCCAAAGCTGAGGGAGCAAAGCTGCCATGCCCAAGGGGCAGAAGAACGGGTCCTGCAGGGGCCAAGGGGGTAGAGTCACCAGTCAGACAGACTAGGAGAATGGGACCACCAAAATTTGAGGGATCAGAATTGCTGTCCCAGTGGGCCTGGAAGGCAGAGCTGAAGCCCAGGGCTGACGGGACTCTGCTCAGAGTCCAGAGAGTCTGGCTAACACCCGGAGTCTGGAGGGCAGGGCCCTTGCCTAAATGGTCTCAGAGAACAGAGGGTTGTTTTCAAGCCTTGAGAACTAATGTAATGTGTTCTGCTGACTTGCTTGGTGCCTGTTATCCCTTCTTTCCCCCCAGTTTCTCCCATTTGTGATAGAAATGTCTAGCTTGTGCCTGTTCCAGCTGTGTACTGTGGAAACAGATAACTTGTATTCTATATTTCACGGATGATGAGGAATTTTGCCCCAGGATGGAATTTGGACTTGGGGTTGATTTAAGATTTTTGGATGATATGATGAGGTGAAAGTGTTTCACATGTGGCAAAGACATGAATTTGGTGGGGGGCAAAGGTTGGAATGTTATAGGTTGAATTGTACCCCCCCAAAATGTGTGTCAACATGACTATGCCATGATTCCGAGTATTGTGCGATTGTCCTTCATTTTGTGATCTGATGTAATTATCCTATGTGTTGTAAATCCTAACTTCTATGATGATAATGATGCAGGATCAGAGGCAGTTATGTTAATGAGGCAGGACACAGTCTACAGGATTAGGTTGTATCTTGAGTCAATCTCTTTTGAGATATAAAAGAGAGAAGCAAGCAGAGAGGAGAGGGACCTCATTACCACCAAGCAAGAAGAGCCAGGAATGTAACAAGTCTTTTGGACCTGGAGTCCCTGCACTGAGAAACTCCTAGGCCCAGGGAAAGATGAATGACAAAGATCTTCCCCCAGAGGTGACAGAGAAAGAAAGCCTTCCCCTAGAGCTGGCATCCTGAATTCGGACTTCTAGCTTCCTAAACTGTGAGAGAGTAAATTTCTGTTTGTTAAAGCCATCCCCTTGTGGTATTTCTGTTATAGCAACACTAGATAGCTAAGAGAGTCACTATGAGTCAAAATTGACTCAACGGCCTACAAAAACAACAGCAGCAACAATGGCTAATGAGAGTATCATTTGATGTGTTTGCTACTTGAATATCTTCTTTAGTGAATTGTCTGTTCATATCCTTGGCCAATTTTTTTTTATCAGATTGTCTTTTTGTTGTTAATTTGTAGATGTTTTATATATATTTTTGATCTTAGATGCATATTGGATATGTCATTTCCGAAGATTTTTTCCTAGTCTGCAGGTTGTCTTTTTACTCTTTTGATGAACAAAGTATTTAACTTTAATGAGGTCCCAGTTATCTACTCTGTTTTCTACTGCTCCTGCATTTGTAGTTGTATTTTAGCCAGGCCTAGGACCTTAAATGAAATTTGTGTGAGATTTAAATAGTAAGCATTTAGGATTATCTGTGTCAGAGATCAAAGGATTCCTGGGTCTAATGAGGAGTTGGCAGATTTGCTGCCAGCCAAGCACGGATAGATAGCTAATGAAAGGGGCAAAATATTTACCACAAAGGGGCTGAGAATCTAGGCTAGTGAGTCTCTGGGTCTATTAAAACATAGACTTGAGCTCTACCCCATAGTTTCTTTCTTTCTTTTTTTATTGTTGTAGTTTGAATGAAGTTTACATTTCAAGTTAGTCTCCCATACAAAATTTTATACATGCATTGTTATGTGACCCTAATTGCTCACCTCATTCTGTGACAGCACACTCCTTCTTTTCGCCCCTGATTCCCCATGCCCATCGAACCAGCTCCTAACCCTCTCTGCCTTCTCATCTCACCTCTGGACAGAAGCTGCCCCTTTGGTCTCTTGTATCTACTTGAGCTAAGAGGCACACTCTTCACGAGTATCACTTTATGTCCCACAGTCCAGTCCAATCCCTGTCTGAAGAGTTGGCCTCGGAAATTGTTTTAGTTCTGGGCTGATAGAGAATCCAGGGGCCATGCTTTCCAGGGTTCCTCCAGTCTCAGTCAGACCATTAAAGTCTGGTCTTCTTACTAGAATTTGAGTTCTGCATCCCATCTTTCTGCTGCTCCATCAGGGACTCTGTTGTATTCCCTGTCAGGGCGGTCATTGGTGGTAGCTGGGCACCATCTAGTTCTTTTGG